ATCATGGTCCATGTGATGCGACACGGGATCTTGCATCACGGGTAATCATGAATAGTGTTCTTGGGCCAAAAGAGAGATGTTGGAATACTATTATCAAGAACGAGCAACAAGAATGTAATAAACAATAGACGAGCAAGGTGAGTGGGAGTGGGAGTGGGAAAAGGGGTAAAAGACGAATCACTTATAAAGGTGATTCGTCGCGATAAATAATAAGTTTTTAAAAAGTTTCCTTGAAGGATAAAGTTTATTATTTGTATTAAATTCTATGTAATATGAATTGAGTGGAATAATAAAACCTATTAAATAAAAATACTCGAATCGAATAATAAACATTTTTAAAACCTAAATATTATTGGGAGCGATCCACACAATACTACCAACTAAATCGAATACGCCTTCTATCGGCGGAACTAGTGACACACGAAAAGAGAAATAGGAAATAGGTGGTTCGGCGAGATTTCGAATCACAAGATCTAGCCGCTAAAAGAAACGCGAATACTATTAATAAAACCCACCTGATCGAACAGTTTCCTGGAGATTTGATAACTATAATTTGGGCGCACATATAATTTATTATTATATTCAACATCAAAGTGTATTTGCACATGATTGCTGATTACAAATTACACAACTATTACGTCTACATGTATATTGATATTAAAATTTAACGACATAAAAAATTTCCTTAAAAAGATTATCCGCAGCTTTGTTCTTGCTGTATATCTGATTGAGAAATTTGCGAAATAGAATCTCGTTGGTATGTTAATCTCCCTTTTTTCAAATATTTTTTAATTGTTCACCAGTTACTTGAATTTCGTCTATTTTTGTTACCAAAAGACGCATTTCAGACTGTTGAATAGAATCGGTCATGTTTGGATGGGTTTTAAGTCCCACTTGTTGAGGATTAGGCATATTCGAGTTTCAAAAAGGTTAAGAGCTAAAACTAGCATAAAAATTGACGATAAATTTCATTATGAAATAGATAAAACTTTTTCTTTGAAATAACGGTCTTAAATTTTAGCCGATTCAAAACAAAGTCGATTTACTTTTAGCTTAGAAGTATGTAGCGCTAACAAAAACAAAGCTCTTCCTAACATAGCATTTAAAGACATCTAACTAATTAAATATTTTATACCGTAGTTTCCTTTAGTTACAGTACATTAATTGTTTTCTTCAAAATTTGCTAGGAAAAAAAAGTTAATAGACGTAATCAAAACATTCAACGAGCACAATTAATTTTACTATGGTATCTGACATAGTTTTGATTAATTATCATATGACACCCAATGAAAGATGACAGTGAGAATATCCAAATTATATCATCTTTACAGGAATGGCCAGTATCAATGCAAAGAATTCAATTAAATGTAGTATCACATGAATACTTCGCCAAAAGTTTGAAACAAAAGCAAATGGAAAATATTTATAGCCTCATTGAATTAGTATTATGTTATCAGGTAAGTTATATATTTTATTTCTTGCTTGAAATTTTTGTAAAATAATAAATAAAAATCTTTCAAAATTAAATATTAAAAACTAAAGTTAATAATCATTATCAATTTTTATATTTGAAACTTTAAACTTATTATGCAGAAATATAGTACTTTCAAATAAATATCTTTTATTTTATTTAGATAAAAAAATTTTCTTTTAATATATAAAATCTATTAGAGTCATCCAATAAATTATGTTTTTTTAATTAACTAATATTTTATTAAAATATGAAATTCTATATAAAATTACTCTAATTAATAAAGAATAATTTTTTAATATTATAGAACAGATGATAAAGTTTGATATGTGTTACTTCTAGAAAACTTTTTTAAAATTAGATAAAATAAAACTAAAAATACAGGCTTATTATCTGTCTTTGGAATTTAGTCTGATATAATTTTTTATCAGTTTATTATATATCAAGTTCTTCATCATCAAAATCTTGTAATTCGTCATTATTTAAGTCACTTTTGACAAGTACTATGTTATTATTCACACTTTTACTATATTAAGTGAGCATCTTCATAATTTAAGAATATTCTTGAAGAATACTTTTTCTTGAAAGAAATACAATAATTTATTTCTAATAGAAAGCAAATCTGGATATGAAGCAGTTCTTGTAATATTATTTTTAATAATAGTTTATATTTCTTCAATTAACTAGAGTATATAAGAGAATATACCTATATCTTTTTGCTATTTTCATGTATATAAAAGGAATATTTGTTTTGTTTTGCTTGACCAACTTATAAAGTTCTCGCTTGTTAGAAAAAGAAATATGTTTTTATAAGTCATTCAGCAAGTATTAACTTTCTTATACTTAATATTGATATTTATTTTATATGTTATTTGTAATAGTAAGTATTATTTATATAGATATTAACTATATTATACAGTTTCAAAAGATTATTATATGATCTTTCAAAAAGATTCTTAAAAATATCTACTGTGAAATTTCTATAATAGTTAATATTATTTATAATAATATTTTATATTAAATTAATTTAAAAGATTATCTCAAGTATCTGTATTAGTATTTCTTCTTTCTCTATTAGATAATAACTTAATCAATAGATTCTATATTAAAAAAGAATTAAAAATAATTTTTTCAAGAAACTTATTTATATTTCTATTATATATAATAATAACTATACTAAAAATAATGATAAATAAATTATATCTTTATATAAAAATAATTTCTTAATACAGAAGTTAGATAAAGTTATAATTATAATAAAGATAATAATAGATTTCATTAAGAAAAATCTCTAACTTACTTGAAATATTATTATTATCTTTTAAATTCTTAAATTATTTGTATAGATAACAGTTATAAAAAATAATATTAGCAAATATTTTATAGAATATATTATAGTATTTATTATATTTATAATAATATTTTAGCAAGTGAAATACTTATAATATCTATTATTTTAATAGTATATGACTATATTTAACAAGCTTTTAATGCAATATAATTCTTGAAAGTAATATCAGAGATATTATAGCTCTGATCTAGTTAATATTACTTTAGTAATAATAATATTTGAATTTATTTTAGATCAATTCATTATTTTATAGAGTATAAATTATTTATTATTTTAGAAATTCTAGTTAAATATCATGTGAATAATTATTACTTCTTCCAACTGATTTTTATTAAGAAAGAACAAATACAAGCTATTGATCTCAATCTATTATTAAATAATATAAATCGAGACTAAAAGTGATAATTTCTAATAGACTAGTGCTATTAATTCTGAAGTAATAGCATCTCAAATTCAAGAATGCTCTGTGTTCATGCTTGTATAGAAAGATAAGATTAAATTAGTTATTATAAATCTTATTTGACCTGATAGAATAAATATTCTTCAGCTATAATAATACTATCATCTTGATGAACTGATCCATAATATATAATAATAGCACAATTAATGATTTCACATATTCAAAAAAGAAATTAAATAGTAGAATAATATTGCTATGACTGATTGTTATTGACAGATTAGATCTAATTATTCTGACATATTGGCCTGAATAAGATTGGTAAGCAATTATTCTTAATGCCTGATGGTATAGCTTGGCTTCAGCTAGATGAAATAAAGAAACTTAGTCAGCAATTATAATGATTTTGATAGAGCTCAATCTTGTAGAAGAGGCAAATGTTACAATTATTTCATTGAATACAGCAATTCTGAAAATCATGAAGAGAATCATTCTGAATGATAAATATTCCACAACACCACATATTTTCTAACACCTTATTTTTCAGCATTATTTAGCATTATTCAGCATTACAGTTATAATCACGCCTGCACCCCTTAATTACTGCATTCTTCAGCATACGAGATCATATTACATCTCTATTTTTCCATATTTGCTAGTATACATTGTCAATACTAAAGAGCATGATAACTAACCTCCTTATTTTTTCATATTCTTCAGCATATGTTGTCAATAATCATGACAACTTGACTTTTCCCCCATTTTTCCAGCATTCTTTCGCACAATTGTTCACGCTCTTTAATATAATGGATCACGTCACTCATACTTTATAATCCTTTACCACCACCCAATCTATTAATGTAATAAGAAATTAGTTAGAATTAGAATAATATTTTTTTCTATATAGTAACAAATAACAGAATGTATAAAACGAATGGCCCTCAGGCCTTTAGAAAAAAATATAGAAATAAAATTGCGTGCATTACCTTTTCTTCAAGAGAAATACTTGTAAAAATCGCTCCATAGAATCGTGATTCTAACGTGTTGGTTAGGTTCTTTCTATCAGAAAAGATGACGAATTGGTTAGAAAAGGCGGAATGCATCATTGATTGAATGTTTTGATTGATTCGAATTTAAGGCTCTTATCTAGAAAAAGTGCAGGAATAAAAGAATAGATAAGTTAATAGTTAATACACGAAATCCCTTTTACCCTTTCCCATAATTACTTATTCACTCACCTTTAGAAACGCTCATATTCGCAGATATCGGCACAGGATTTAGACCAACAGGTAAAATTAGTCTAATCGCCCTCTCCTACCCACCGTCACAGTGCACAAATTTCCCCAAATCCACGTAATTCCAGTCTACTTGTGACAATACATGTTCGAATATCACATTGAGGAAAATGAGTGGCAACAGGTTAATTGCACATATTCTTTATTGTGATGAATATCGATATTAACTTTTTTGAAACATCACATAACGATAGTTAATTTTTAGCGTTTCGCGTAAGTTGAAAGATTCCGAAGAAAATATTTTAAATTTTTCTCTTTTTATTACAAAAAGCAAAATAAAAAAAATCATACTAACCAACCACTATATTAAACTATCATTTTGTATGACCGTCTTTTGTTTGTATTGTTGTCGTCACAACGAGAAATCTTGTGATTACGAAATTTCTGGAATATTGTGAGAAAATCTTAATTTTGCACCGGTCACGAAAACTACATGTACATGTAAATGATAAATCAAACAACTATCTTCTTGTTTTCCTTATCACTATGCCAATCACGCAAATTCCAAATTTACAAGCGCTGACAGTATTAGAACCATATGCAACAAGCATTATTTACGGAAACAAAAGACTCAAGCTGCGAAGCTATCAGATCGAAATACCAATGAATTCGGTAATTCATAAAGGTGGCTCAACACGCCTTTTTAGAAATCTGTGCAACTTTTCGATTACAGGCATCAGAAAGATTGTCTTCGTGGAAATTGTGGCAAAATCCTTTGATGGGCAAAGTTTATCGCTGTTTAAAAGCCGAAGAAATTCCTGACGATGAAGTTTGAAAAGATTATTATGATGAAAATAGACAATTGTATTGTTGGCCAAGGAGTGCAAAATCCGTAACTCCGTAAATTTTAAATATACATGTACTCAAGCCTGGAACATTATACGATATTATGTAAGATTAATACATGTACAGTATAATTAGATATAATTGTTGTTGGTTACATCGGCAATATCAGAACAACTGAATTGGCATATTAATGGCTCGTTTTTGCATAGCGATATTTGATTGCAACACAACTAAAAATTAAATTACGATATAACGATAATTTCATTTCAATTAGCCAATTTAATATTTAAGAGGATAAAGAGGAGAATAATGTCATCATAATTGACTCATATACCCAGGCCAGGTACACAGTGAACCCCGTTAAACCGAAGCACTAATTAAAATCCCGTTAAACCGAAGTTCGCTCAAAAACCGTTACATTATAAAGGACCCTGTAAAACCGAATTTATTAAGTAAATCTCTGTAAACTGAATTTCTCAAAATTTCTCGCTATTAGCCCCGACCACTTCGATTTAACGGGTCCACTGTGTATATGGCAATGCTCAAGGCGTAAACATTGTCATGTGCCCCTCATATTTTTAAAAGTCTATAATCAAACATTAGTCTTTTTATATACACAATACCATGTATTGTATGAGCTCATAATTTCACATACATATAGTAGTTGATACATGCAATGCATTTTGTTACCCAAAAATACCAAGTTAGTTGTTACATTTACGTACTCTGGCTCAAAATTATAAATCTACATTTCGCCAAGAAATCATGCATCCTTTATGCATGATGTCGAAATTACCAAGTCATAAAATGTATATGATGTAATCAATTGAGTACATTATAATAATTTTGAGAACGCGCGGATAAATTCTACAGACTTGGTTAGATTATATGGAAAAAAATAGCACTTTTTTTCGTTATTTAAACAAGTCAAATTTTCTTTGATTCTTCAAACTTCAAAACTAATTTACAAAAGAACAAAATGAAAAATTGGTTGTATTCCTTTTTGTTGTATTGTTTTTTGCTGTTGTATATTGTGCAAGGTAAATGATAAAAGTTTTTGGTTGTTGTTTGTTAAAGTATTTGAGTAAACCTAACATTATTATTTCTTTTAGCAATCCCCGAAACCGAAAACACATTCATACCAAATGCATGCAGACTTATTCGCTGTCCTAAACATCATTACTGCGTTAATGACGGATGTGGTGGCGGAAAATGTATTCTAAACCCAACACCAACACCAACTAGACGTTGCATAATTTTGTGTGAAATAGGATATCATTGTGTTAATGGAACTTGTGTTCCTAATGCTGCGACAACAACTACATCTTCACCTGAAGTTTGCAAGTGTTTAAACGGATTTCATTGTGTTAATGGAACTTGTGTTGCTGATACTACGTCGACAACGCCAACGCCAACGCCAACAACAACACATATTGGCGAATGCTTATGTGAAATAGGATATCATTGTATTAATGGAACTTGTGTTGTTAATTAAACTAGAAATTACAATTATTTAAATTGTATCCATAATGTTATTATTTATTTGTAATTTAAATCGCTTTTATAGAAATTACAATCTGTAACAAAAATACGAACAAAATACAAGATTGTTTAATTCGCTTTGTTCAATGCGATTGTGATACATAATACATGTATAGAAAATAGGCTTAACAAATTTTATTTGCTTTAATATTCTCAATAAAATTCATCCGAATGTCTACATCTTAAAAATTATACAACACCAAATCCTATTATATTTATGGAATGAAGGAATTTGTAGAACAAACACCAACCAGTATTCCACTCCTTTAATTATGAGAACATTAAAAATAGAACAATACATCATGCAAGAGCAATGAACGACTTTAAGAAATTACCGCGATTTCCAGAGCTCTTCGACTATACATTCGAAGAGACATCTCAACGAGAAGTTTAGTTAAAAAAATTAAGCCAAAAAGTTCTTGAGATATCTTAGACCATAAATATAAAAAATCTCTTCAAAAGCAACAACAATGCTTACAGAGAAAAATGTGGTTTAATGGGCAAAAAATTTCATTGAAGACTGGGATAAGATCTTTTTTTTATTTCAATTAAATCAAGATACTATAAAACGCTGGTATTAAGGTGCAAAACTAATCCGTTATATGCCAAAAGATCGTGCAAAGATTCTTGCATGGGATGGATTTTAAAACAAATTTATTTTGCTTTCGACGAATTATGAATTCTGAAAACACCTTTCAGAAATTATCCAATTGTTTAAAACAATTGTCGACTAGACAATGACTTAAAACACATATTTCGTCTTGTTATAAAATTTATTTGTATAATGCATTAGAACTTATGGGTTAGTCCCGACTTAAATACTATTGAAAACTTTGGGAATTATTAATGTAGAGAGACAAATGACGCAAAATCCTTAATGAATTAAAAAAGATGGCGGCGGAGTGGTGAGCTATCCAAGATATCATTCTATTTTAAATTCAATGAAACGACGTTGTGAATGCAATGGAGAACGTATAATAAATTCGTTATTTTAAGCTTTCAAATTAATTTGGTATTGTCAAGTGATACTGTTGTCGTCGCAACGAGAATTCTCGCGCTATCTGAGCGAGAATCATACAAAAATTCTTAGTATCAAAATTAATGTCGCTTCGCAAATAATAAAAATTTCTTATAAAAATACTGCGAACCCAAGAATTAGAAATTTCATACAAAACTTTGTATCATGCGTTATTCCTTTGATTACAGAAACGATTACATTTTTCTTACAAAAAATCATTTGTATCATACATGATAATTCTACTTTATTTTATTTAAATTTTATTAATTTCTTTTATTTTGAAGCAATCCATGCTTACTTTCTGTAGAATTTTTTGCAAAAAATTTACAAAAATTCACACTTTGTACTTTTGATCCGAGAATTCTGTACTAACTTATGAACTGTAATTGTATACATGTAATAACAAAATTGTATTAAAGGATAGCTCTCTAAGATCTGAGCGATAGGCAATGTGTGATTTAAAGAAAAATATCTAAAAATATGTTTAACCCTCAGCTTTTTGTGCCATAACGAAACTGATAGCTTTATTTCTTGTGTGCTTAACTAAATTAAAGGTTGACCTATTTGCCATATTTTGATTAATTTGTTGAGATCTAAATTATTTTTATGGAATAAACCAACGTTAACATCTAAATCAATCCATACAAAATATCTTGGACTCAGTCCAAAAATATTTGTTCAAGCATCCAAAAATCTGTCAAACTATAATAAAAATGATCACTTGGACTAATTTTTGTTGAATGCTTTATTGGGCCACGTATTGATGATCATCAAGTGGTAGTAGGCGAAAAAAAGTAATTTTTTAAATGGGTAAACCAATCAAATTGCAAGCTTTTAAATAGGGTTGATTAGAATCAATGTTAAGATCTAATTTCTGTATAGTAAGGAACTACTTTTGATGGAAATTGACACGCACAGAAAATTTTGACGATCATTATGTGTTGATTATAACGTGCACGCATAGTGAATCGGAAAGTCAATTTGTCTAAGATAGAACACAGAAGTGGTTTCATATTTTAGGATTCATGTACATGTATAAGCTATTTTTCGCCTGGTAATGATCATTATGGTAAAAGTCATAAACTCGATCAAATCGAAATTTTACCTATGAAAGCTATCTGTATTCTAAAAAATATTCCTTGCGAAATTCATGGTGGTATTATTGTTGGGAAGTTGAATTTCGTAACTTGATTATATGTACATGTACAGTGGTGTGCAAAAAAAATGACAACTAGTTTTTTGATTATAATGAATTGAATAATTATTCAAGCATTTATATATATATTCTTAATATCTAGAGAACAAGTTTACTTAAGATCATAAAATAAAAAAATCTTAATAAAGTTTTCATAAATTTGCATTTTATATTCAAAAATTCAGCTTGTAAAATTATTACAAAAATTTATATATGAAAAATAATTTAAATTATATTTTACTTTATAATGCAATAACAAAGTATTGAATTTTTATAAAAACTTAATAATATCTTCCTTATAATATAATAAACAAATTTACTTAAAGTTTAATTATATAATAAACCTATTAAAATTATTTTTAATTAATATTTTAAAATATTTTTTGTATAAATTTTGCAAGCTGAATTTTTAAATATAAAATGCAAATTTATGAAAAATTTTACTAAGATTTTTTTTTATGATCTTAAGTAACTTGTTCTCTAGATATTTAAGAATATATATATAAATGCTTATATTATTTGAAAATTATTCAATTTATTATAATCAAAAAACTAGTTGTCATTTTTTTTGCATATCACTTTATATGAAAAGATATTTCTAATATTTACATTTCATATGAACAGCTATTTAATAGAAAATAAAGGAAACAATTAGAAAAGAAAACTATATTAAGTATGTGACTTGATATAAAAATATATCAAACTATATAATTGTAATCAACTTTATTTTTTGATGCTAAATATATAGCAATAAATTAATAATAAAAAAGATTGGCACATTCTGTTATATTATGTACAAATCTTATTTTTTTATGCATGTATTATTTATTTTTCTAATAATTATAAAAAATCTAAAATTCAAGAAAAAATAATTGGAATTAAAGTATTTGCAAGTGAGTGATATTATACACTATGCTTTTTAGTAATATATTACTATTATATATTTATTTGTAACTGGATTTTTTTGGTATCATAAAAGCTTATTTCAAAGCTAAAATTAATTTTAATTATATTAAAAAAAATCATGATTGCATCTTAAAATTATTTGCTTTTTATTTCTTTTATAATTTTCTTTAAAGTATCAAAATTATAATACAACTTTGTATTATTATTATTAAATTATTTAAATTTATTTTTTATGATTTATTTCTAATATTAATAAGAATTCATAAATTTCTTTTGCAAGATATTCAAAATTATTCAAAAGAAATCTATTAGTAATATCTTTTAATTT